CTAAGTCTCGTTTCAGGGTTTTATCTCTTGTAAAAGTACCACCTCTTTGTAAGACCACATATTTCAAAACACAGTAAGAGGTAAAGGTTCTACAAATTACTTTAACAGAAGTTTTCAGGAGAAGGCTTTGTTAACAGCTTCTGACCACCCCTTTGATGTATCACCACCATCATGCGCATAACAAGACAAATCCACTGACGTCTGCCTTCATGCAAGTGTCTCATGACATGGGAACACCTGAATTTGATCCATCACAGACACATGTCTACTACATCAGGATGGAAGAAACCTCTGGAAAGCAGGCTCCCAGAATCAATAACCCATTTCACTGTGCTCAATATCCAAACCTGAGGACCTCCTACTTCAGGAAAAGTAGTGCCAGGAAGCTAGATTTGTAGTTGCAATGAGCCAAATCTAATCTGCAGGCTAGATCTTACTTGCCCCAGTTGTTAAAATATATTTGACTTCACAAGAAGACACATTTGCAAAGAACTGAGCTGCAAAAGAACATCAGGTCTCAACTGAGAAAGTCCAGAATTAATTAAAACATTAAGATTTTTCAGAGAGGACAATAAGCTCAAAACTAACCCATGAGAAATGCAAATCGGAGAATTATTACTATGTTACTGTGAGCATTTTTTCACCTGTTGAGTAACTGGGAGAGAAAATGAACAGCAAAGCACCAGGCCAAGAAATGGAAAAAGCATTCATTGAAAAAGTTATCCTAACTTTCCTCATAATTTGGGCAGATCTTCACTAAAAAGCATGTCTGACTACTGTCAGATTTATGACTGCAGTTCAGAACAGAAGATGCTCTGATCTTATATTCTCACATAGGCATCTTCAGTGGATTGGGCTAGACTGGTCAAACATTGTAGAGCGCTTCTTACATTCTTATACATGAGAAATCAAAGAAGTTCAGACTGAACAGGTCCCACCTTTTCTCAAAGCTCATTGTCATTTTTTTTGCTCCTTTGAAGACAGTAGATTCAAAAGCACATGAAAGCTTTGAGTTACCAATTTCTACTATTGTCACTCTATCCAAATAAAAATACATGTACCCCAGTCCTCAAAATTATTTTGCTGAGTGCACAGACAGTTCAGTTAAGTTGGAGAAATTGCCCACAAATAAGCTCTGTGATTATTTTGTGGGCACACTGTGCATCTTGTTGTCAATTCAAGTTACAGGACCATATTTGTTTCAAGCCAAATCTTAAACTATTTTCTTAAACTGTTCTAATTTCTTCAAGTTCTATAAAATACCTAATTTCTTCGCCAAAGGATTATTGACCTTGTTATCACGCACTGACCTTAAGTGCGGCAGAATTCATAGAGCATTCATGGATATACTCTGTTCCCTACTTAGCACAGCAAGGTTTGTGAAGACTCAAGGCAAAGCCACTCCTTTAGTAAAAAGGAAGCATTAGATGGCTTGAGTAAGATCTAATCTCATTTAAGGAACCATAATTTTGTCCCTAAAACAATAGACCCAAACAGTATTCGTATGATTTTGGAAGCACTTGTGCACGACTAACAAGCAACTTTTCCATTTCAATTACCACATCAATCCTGACTGTCTAGAAATGTATTCCCTAGTGAAAAAGCAGGTAAATTAAAAGAAAGCTTTTAGGTTTTAGCTACACTGAGGCTCTGAAATAATAATAATAAAAAAATCTCCTAAACTATTTGCTGCTACTTCTTCCTACTTGTAAAAAGTCTTCAAAATTTAAGACAGGACTTGAGCAGCCTTAGTTCACTTTACCTTTATGTAAAGGAAATTATTTTAAAATTCAAATTAGCCAAAACAACAAGTCACAAGAATACCATATCAGTAAGTGAAAATTGTTTATTAAAAGGCATAAAATATTTTTTTCCACATCTTTTCAGATAGGTTCTAACTTCTTTTTTCACTTAACAAGTGAAGAACTATTTCCTAGTATAATTTGAAAAAAATTAAAACCTCCACCTTGGGTGTTAAAACAAGGTAGAAAGCAGAAAAGCTCCCAACCTAGTCAAACTGTGTGCAAGTCATCACTGTACCCCACCTGAAGACAATGCCTCTTCACAAGGACAGAAACCCTACTGTAAAAGTAAAGCGAAAAATAGGTTCTGAAGTTTATACAAAAAATATGCTTGCAGTAATAGTCCTTACTCTACCCTAAATTTTAGGCAGCTTTCACCATTCTGTATTTTCCTCTGCTTGGAGTACACATACGCAGTAGCAATTCTTTGGAAAGCAGCAACTTTTAAGGTTAGAATGAGTAAGACTTCAAAGTGAAAAAACAGAAAAACACCTAGTCATATCCAGTATAAGGGTAAATACTAAACAAGCTTTAGCCCTTCCCGAAGAGCAGTATATAAGGTGGCCATTCACAGAGGGCTTCCCTCAGAACCACTCTATTTTGGGTTGAAGAATTCTAGAGGATAAATGAAGCATGAATGAAGGACTTGGGATTCATGTGTATATATGATACATTGCAGGAAAAAAAAAAAAAATCAACATTTAAATCATCTTCTACAGGTTTGTAGCTAAAACCTGCAATACATTGATTTTACCTGCTCTCTGTGTAACGACATATAAGAAACTGAAAATAAAAAAGAGCAATAATTTAAATTGCAGTAAAACTGCACCTTGTTTAGACAATTTTACTATTAAAAAATGCATAAAGACTGCCATTTTTCAGTAAGCTTACAAAGAGATTGTGTAAGCTACATTTTAGTCTTTTTATTACCAGTTGGATTTTCTGAATATAAAAGTGATTTACTCCTTTCCCCAAAGTTTCCTCTACCTTTATTTTTTCCCCCACATTTCCTTATTTCATTTCAATATAAATATGAAGGCAGAAAGATTCAATGTGTTTCAAGATCTAGAATGCTCAAAGATTTTCCCCACAGGTGTTCATAAAACTGGATCCAGGTTTTGAACATTAATCTTTATTTCCTGACTCAGAGAAAATTCTGAGCAAATTTATTTTTGTCTGTCAATACTAGGTGTTATTCAAATAACAATACAGTTCTCATTTTTGTGTTCTCATTTATTGTGTTCTCATACACAGAACAACATCTTTAGAAGAATTCCAGATGAAAGACTACTTGAAAACGTGGTTATTTTCAATTGGAAAAGTTTTTCAAAGCCACAAAATCAGTTGGAAACTAAAAGAATACAACCACCTTTGCTACCTCTCTCATTTACTGTGAGCCAAATAAGATATCAAAAGGAACATGTAATACAGAATATACATTTAGCTACACACAAGTGATCAAAGGTGTACAGACAATGTCAATATCATCACCATATATTTATTTTTACCAACTTTTTAAAAATATTACAAAGGCATATAATGGTTTAAGATTTCATAAACATAAACTCAGAAAGCTGTAATGGTCAACAGTGAAGCTACAAGGGGAAAAAATCCCTTAACAAGAATTTGGAAATAAAACTTTAAAAAGCTTTTGCAAAAATCACTCTTCCATTTCCTGTCGGAATGACATCACTCTTCTGCCAACTACAGCAGCTTCTATGCCCCATTTTGGTCACTTCTCCCACAAGCTTTCACGATTTCTCATTTGTCATTCCTCGTGTCTGGAACACCCACCTTCCTTCTCTTGAAGTCCCATTCTAAGATCCACTTCTGCAACATTGCCTACAGAAAGAGTAGGCAACTAAAACACTCATTCACTGTGTCAACAACGTTCCAAGCATCAGCTTTCACTGTGTACACTGTACAGCATAGCATTCATCTCGCTTTACCTTATTACTACACCACCGTAACGACTTCTCTCCCTTAGTGCATCAAATCTAAAAGTGGGGATTTCATACCCAAGAATCACTTTGGAGAAATAACTTCTACTGGTTTTGAGAGTGCTAGCTGCGCCTTTCAGTGCTCACAGAAAGGAAAGTATGCTCAACATTATAAATATTCCATTGTGCCTGTATGCATCTGTGGTACATGCACATTTGTAATGGACATAAACAGAAAAGAGCAGCCTATTTAATTTTCTTTACACTGTAGTACATTTTAATCCTTTGCTGGCTCACCTGAAATTTCTCATCAGAAATAAGTTATGAAACTGAATTGGACAGCTGCATTTAAGCATTTTGTTTTGTTTTATTTTTAGCAAAACTTTAATTCTAAACCTATTTCCTTCTATCTTTGAAAATCTGGTTTAAAATTCAACTAAGAGTCTACAGGAAATGTTTATGTTTACACAGGTCAAGACTACGTTCATATCTGCTATTAAACAACTATTTCTGGACAGTCATGGAGGCAGACTCGAAGCAATGACACCTTTCTGAAAGTCTGAAGGGTTTGTTTTTTGGTTTTTTGTTGGTTTGTTGGTTTTTTTTTTTAATTAGAAAGAAAATCTAGCATATATGTTGCTTACACATATTAAATGCAAGCCTGTCATGAGATGGTATTACTGACCTTCAGGTGACATGAACCTCAAGTCATGCTTTCAGTCTTCCATATGTTTCTACATGCCACTCCATATAAAAGTGAAATACTTCACTGGCTAATTTATTTATTTTCATAATAAGCAGAGCTTCAGTAATGCCAATGCAGGTCTAACATACAATAATGCATTATCAAGGGGAAAAAATGTTTAAGAATGGTTGGGTTTGTAACTTTGCGTCATTACAAATGGGAAGTAGAATGCTTGGGCAGACAAACAAGCTGCACAGGGCATTTTCAGAAATGAAAAACGGTTGAAGATGTAAAATGCAAAACCACAACAAAACCACTGTAGACACAACATGTAAACACAAGATATAATCAATAGCCCAATTTAAGTTACAAATCCAATTCTTAAAGATAAAAAACTCTAGCAAGCATATGGCTGAAGTTTACATGTATAAACTCACTAAAATTTAAGCATTTGACATTGAAAACACCATCATTCACAGCTTAAAGCTAAATGAAACCTTTCCTCACATATATTTCACATACTTGAAATTATCTCACTATTAAAATGGGAAAAAATAAGCTTATTCAACTTACATCTTTTTCTGACCGATGTGGGAACATCGATGATTGGCTGTAGTACATGTTTTCATCATGGTAGTCACCATCAACCCCCTCTACAAACTTCTTCCTTGAAGCACCAAACATGCTGTTTGTCACCTAAATAAGAAGAAAAATGATTATATACCATATATGATTTGGTTTGCTACATACTTATAATAGTATATGTTTTTAAATACGTGTAAGGATTGTTAAAAAAAACCCTGTTTCTGAACACTTGAAAATTCCTCTTTAAAAATATTTTCTGTATATTGCCAATGTAATGGTTCTTCCAAGTGGGACTTTCATCTGACAGAAAGTCATGTTTCAGAACAGACTGGGGTGGGGAGAGGAGACATGCTTCGTGTTTTGGAGGGGTGTTTGTTTCTTCGTTGAGTTAGGGGGTTTTTTTTGAGTCTCATGACCTTTCACTCAGATTTATTTAAAATTACAGAATGTCAGACAACAAACCAGCAAATTTCTCAAATTTTCCTCTCCTCAGGTAAACACTTTCCATCTAACAGAAGAAAATTAAGGAATGTTCTTTAGAGCTCAGCCCCTTATAAGAAATAACAAGGAAAAAAAAAAAAACACCTGTAAAATCACTCCCATGTCTCATCACCACGACTTTGGAAAAGCAGCTTTCGACTTGACCCTGCGCACTCAGAGCCATGATTAAGTAAGAGAAGGTTGAGCTTAACCACACTCAACAACCTCATCACAGACTGGCAAAGTTACTGCAGACAGCCCATAAAAAACCACTAGATTTTATTTTGCCCTTACTCCCAGAGACACGCAAGCATACAGACACAGACAGAGCTGCTAAGTCAGGAACTGGAAACTGAAGAAACAGCAGCCACACAGCTGGTCACAGAACCTTAATTCATTAGAAAATTTTATCTCACAGCAAGCTCATACAACTTCGCTAAAGTATCTACCGCATGCACTGCGTATTTATACACCTGATACTCTTATTTATGTAAAAATACATACACCTTTGTTAAGTTCCTAATCTATCTGGCTATGAAACACTATCACAGTGCAGCATGGGCTAACCAAACCCTGTTTTAACCTAACAGATTAATGTTCAAACCAGCAAAATGGCACATACTGGTCAGCACTGAGCAACTTGCCCAGTTTCTCGTGCCATACAGGGAAACCTGAGAGAGCACAACCAACGGGACAGTAATCAACCCTGAGCTACCGCCCTACATAACATACCTTCAAACAGATCTTTAACATCTTGAAAGGTAAGGAAGCTAAGTTACAGTTAGCTTATGAAATGCTCCAAGCCCTAAGATTTGCTATCTTCACTATGACAGCATTAGCTAAACTTCAAAAAAAAAAAAAAAAAAAAAAAAAAGGACAATTTTTAAGGGTGGGGTTTTTTTAAAAAGAGTCATTTTGCACTAACTTATGCTCATGCTTGAAATTGAAATTTCAAAACATTTATTCTGGTTGGCTGCAAGGACAGTTACTTTCAGTTTGAAATCCTCTTATCCCTACTGACACAAAATTACTCTGGTATTTCTCGGTGTGTCCTATTCAAATTTCACCTTTACTGACAAAGATTTCTAGGCAGTGTCTAATAACATGGGTGCTCCTATACTAGTAACAACTTAACCTCATGATTTCAGTCATAGGAGTTTTGAGTGAAAGTAAAGTCAACACTTAGGATGCTTTTAATACAGCTATAATCACAGAATTGCCCTAAAATGTTCAGCTAAACAAAAGCATCTTCCACTACTCCTACAAGAGTGTTTCAGATATTTAGACTACTGATGTCTCAGAACAAACTTATAATGTCACACACATATGAAGGGATGTAAAGGTACTGCACATCTCCAGATGAAACTTGTATTTTACGGTATTTACAAAAATGTGCAAATGCAAGGTCCCAAACTGCTCGAATGCATTCAGCTGACTTTCACACTTGTAGTGAAGCTTTCATTACACTATAAGCATATCCCACTGTGCTAATCCCCTTACAATGCAATTATCACCTACCAGATGGGATGGAGCATTTAACAAGCTAAAGGGATTATCTTGTCCTTTGCTCTGCCTGAGTAAAGTGTGGAGAGATGAGCAGTTGCCTTTAACCGCTGTAAAAAGGATAGTGAAATGCTTTGGTGAAGCTGTCCTGGGCAATGAGGAGAAGCTGAGCGTCTCAACTGCTCTTGAGAAGGTAAAAGGCAGCTTCTCACAAGGCCCAAAGAATTTTTTGGTGCTCCTTTAACAATACCTGGGAGAAGAGAAGCAATTTTTTTGCCACATGAATTTTGTTGTATCACAGGAGAAGGTTAATTGTGATAGAAAGCAAGTCACTGAAGCATACACCATACTGTACCAATGTAACACCTAACCCTGAGCTACAGTACAGGAACTATATAAGGGGAAAAAATGATTGTCTTTGACCCTGTAGCTTTTGATCTTATTTCCGTAAAGGTTTACACATGGCTGGCTACACATGCACCATAAAGATTTCTGAGTCAGTGGGGTAACATCAGAGCTTTCAGTCTCAAAAATACATGTTTAAAGATACTGCAAGAAAGCTAGTATGTCCAAATATGAAATCTATATACTGAAAAGCTGAAAGCTATTTTAAACACTCTCCACTAAATTTAAATTGTCTAAAAGATTATTTTCTATATTGATAATTGTGCAAGACAGTGGCCCAAAAACTAATCAAGATCATGCCCTGAAGACTGATGAAGTGCACTGATATGGAGTCTTACAAGAGAATGGTTATTAGAAAAGAAATGAAGAAAACTTTTAATAATTAGATAGATTAAATATTGATATTTTTATTGGCAACCCATATTTCTACATGATACCTAACAGGACTGTGCTGCTGAACTCCAAAGAGCAGAGCAGCGCATCGCAGGCTGCAGCTGCAGGGGAAGAGGGGAAGGCCGGAGCAGCCCTGCCTGCAACCCAGCTGCATCACTGCACCCGAGCGCTCTGAAGACCTTCAAAAACTTTTTGCAGAGACAGACACTTCTTCGCAGCAGCATTTTTGTAAGCGATTCTGTGTCGTTCAACGCTGCCAAGCGAAGCGGTCGCGTGGAGCGCTCAAGCTGTCCACATTCCCACCAAGGGAAGCAGTACAGGCGCTGGAGGGCATTCTGGCAGCTGCCTGCACCCCTAACAGGATTTCACTTCACTAGAAAGAACTGCCACTTGTTCTCAGGGTGAACCACAGCACAGATCACAGAGAAACGCGGTGTTGCAATTCACGCTGCTATCCACCCCTGTTACAAAACTAACAGCACAATAAAATGAGGCAGCCGCTAAAGACCAGTAACTGAAAGGGCAGGAACTGGGATTAGAGATTGAAGCTGCAGCTGCCGTAGCCAGGCCACTTACTTCTTGCTTGTTCTCAGCCTAACACCAGCAGCCAATTTATCTACTTCCTAGTAGTCACAGCGTCAGTAAACGGCTGGCAAACTAATAGAGCACCTATCCCCGTGCAGACTTTTGTAATACTACAGCAGGTTTACGCAACGCCAGTGTCGGATGGTTGCCAGGTTAAGCAGCAGGCACCTTCCTATCCACGTTAAATTGTTCCAGTACTCACTAACGTATTCACTAGTCAATCACCCTACAAGCATATACACAGATACCGAAAAAACTTGCTGCAGTACTATTTGTAAGGAGGTGTGAGAACAACTGGGGCTGTGCCAAACGTGGGCAGACCTGCAGATAGAACTTCGTTGGTTATTTCTTAGGACAACAAGCCACCAGGAAGCCTCATAGACAAAGACTGCAGCTCCTTTTTCATAGACTGATAGATCAGTGTGCAATCAGCTACAAAAGTTAAAAAAAGCAAACTTCACGCAGCACTTATAAATACATTTTAAAACCTTTGCAAAGTAACAGTGACCTAAGGTTTTGTTTTCACAAGGTCTAGATGAGGTGAGAGAGAGAAATCAGCTCTTGTATTTAAGTCCCTCATTCATACATATATACCTATACACACATACTTATGCCAACACAATCTCACACAAGTGGTACTCCAGTTGCATGGCAATTTTATTAAGTAAAGAATTCCTGTCTACTCAGCCTAATTTCATACAGATCCCTCTCCTAATCCTGTAACTACTTTTCCTGTTCTACTGTGGGAACTCGGTCCTCTGTTGCACAAGACGCATTGGCAGTGTAACCATTTATTAACAACGTAAAAATGGTGCACTTCTGTCAATTCATCCTTTAGCATAATATTGCAAAAGTACATACAACTCCTACTGGTAGATCCATGTACAAATATTATTAGAAAATATTCGTGGTAACAGAGGAAAAAAAGGGAAGGAGCTACATGTTAGGATGGAGTTCAGAGAACTAACCAGCCATGCTGCCACAAACCATGCCCAATTCTGATCAGATGAACAGAAGCGCTTCTTTCAAAGCACAAGCACATCGTGTTTGAAGATCAGATTTCCCCACAACTTCAAGTTAATGTTAACCAAGCAAAATGCAGTCCCAAACCCGACAAGACCTTTAAATACTTTAAATACTGTGGAACATTTCCTAACAACAACCACTATGGGGGAACTAAAAGCACCGTACATTAAGAACTTGAAGCATCTCATGAACAGTTTGCTGTGGTCATTGACCTTTATCCTTCAGCTGAGTATATAACACATGACAACCAACAATACTTACTTAAAAAAAAATTTAAAAAAAAACCCAAACCACGATTTCAAGAAAAATCCTTTTTGTTACAAGATACACTGCAATATAGCATACTTCAGCACACAAAAACTTGTTTATTAGCAATAAGTGAAAATACGTTACTGACACAGAATTTGTAAGGAAAAGTCATTAAAAATTTTGTCATCTTAAGCTGCAAAAAGATCTTCTCTATAATCACTTATAAAGAGATGCTATGATTGTATATTAAATTAGTTTAACAGCCTGAAGCAAATTATAGTATTAAAATATGAAAGCTAATTATGTTTCTGTTTTGCAATATTACTATAGGTAGTGCCCAAGGAAAGCTCACTCATGACATTAACATGACCAACTCTAAGAGGATACTATAAAATCTCCCTGGAGAATGAATATTTTTAATTTTGCACAGAGAAGAAAAATTGATCACTGCATTACAACTGATTAAACTCATCATCTTTACGAGAGCTGAAAACTACATACAGTAATACAAGTTAAAAAAAGAAACCACTTAAGGAATTTTAGCAATATCTTCCCTTTCCTGCTCCTCCAATGACTATGGTATTTGCCAACTATCAT